GCTAACATCGGTGCCCATCTTCCTCTACTTTATATGTGGGACGCCTGCTACAGTATGTCTTGGCAAGTGGTGTGTAGGTCCACACCTGGGATCTGAACTGGCAAACCCCGGGCCACTGAAGTGGAACGTGTGAACTTAACTGCTGCACCACCAGGCTGGCCCCACAATAAAGCATTTTAAAATGTCTCTTTCAAAAATTACTTTTTATCATCTGTTTGAGATATTGTTCAGGATGAAATGGTCAATGTAGAATTTTTGTAAATGTTTAAAACGATCTAAATATTCACCAGTTAGGGAAATGATTAAATAAATTATTTTGTACCCATATGATGGAATACCTTACAATTTCAAAAGCTGAGGTAGATTTATATGTACATAAAGTTGCAGAATTGTGTGATCACATTGTAGTTAAAAATTACATATATGTATTCGTGTATAGATGAGTGTATATTTAGACAAAAAAAAATGGTCTCAAAGGATATTCATTGTAGTGAATAATATGGTGGCCTTCCCAGCATCCATCCCCATTACCCTATTGCACAGTTTGGATGGAATTGACCCCATGCCCAACTCCAGAGGTTGGCCCTATTCATGGAGCCAACTAGGAAAATTTCATCCTTTCTGCCACAGAGATTAATTCAAGAATGGAAACCGACCCAATCAATACTTGGCATTCCCCAGGCCTCAGTGATGGGTTCATAAGTAAGCACATGGCCAAATTCGGTCCAATCAGAGTGAAGCCTAGGATGTTCACTCCACGGTGTTGAGTTTCTCTCTCTCTTCCCTCTCTTCCTTTCCTTTCCCTCCCTACTCCTCTCTCTGATGAAGCATGTGGCCCTGTAGCCAGCAATGTCACAATCACGAGGTGAGCCAGACTTGGGATGAAGCTGATGTCTTGGAAGGTAGAGCAAGGAGAGAGAAACGGAGTCTTTGGTGACACAGTTGAGTGACTGAATTAAACAAATCCCGAAGCCTGCCCTTCCTCTGGGCTTTGAGAAGCTCTTTACATTTTCTGTTGAAGATGGTCAAATGAAATGGTGGATGTGGTGTTGTTTGTAACAGCCAGGCATTGGAAACAACCTAAATGTTCATTCACTCAGAAAAGGATTAAATAAATTATGAGAACCAGAAGATTATCTTCGTTGTTCTATCCATTTTGAATGGAATTTTCTCCTGCTTGTTATATAGTCTTCATGGACACATGCATCAAACTGTTTGAAGTGTTTAACCTTGGGAATGGGGTGTTTGTGTGTGTATGTGGTCAGAAGGCTGATGGGAGAAATTCTTTCATTTTGTACATTTTTGCGCTTCTGTTTAAACTTTTTATAATGAGCATATGTTATTTTCTCTTATAATTGTTTTTTAATTATATAAAATATATAAGTTTTCACAAATTAGTTCGTATCAAAGCAATGTTGGAACTATTTCAGTCTATCCCTGGTGAGGGGGTTAGTGATTGAAAGGGGACAAAGGAGGGGCTTTGACGGGAGTGATAATATTCTGTGTACCCAAGTGGGTCCATGGGGCCGGCCTGGTGGCATAGTGGTTAAGTGCATGCTCTCTGCTTTGTTGGCCCAGGGTTTGTGGGTTTGGGTCCTGGGTGTGGACCTATACACCACTCACCAAGCCATGCTGTGGTGGCATCCCACATCAAAATAGAGGAAGGTTGGCACAGATGTCAGCCCAGGGCCAATATTCCTTACCAAAAAAAGAAAAGAAAAGAACAGAATGTAGCTGAAGTGGGTCCATGTGTGTGCTCACTTTGTGAAAATAGATTGACCTTTAACCCTAAGATTTGTGTATGTCATCTTCTAATGTATGTTAAGTAGCAGGTGAGTGTATCAGGAAAGACTTGCAGACAATGGAACTCTTGAAAGAACAGAAGGTGCTGTGTGTGCCTGCATTTGGCTAGGGTTGCGGGAGAGCCCGGAAGACTCATCCAGGAAGAGAGAATGGCAAGGGCAAAAGCCCAGAGGTATGAATGAATTATGCAGGCAAGTTTGTGGAACCAAAGAAATTTTGCCCAGTTGGAGCGAGAGGAGCTGGAGAGATGGGGAGGGTCAGTACAGCGGGAGAGGAAGGTGGCAGGACATAGAGCAAGAGGGCCTTCCCTACCAAGCTTACAGACTGAAGGCTTTGTTCTATAAACAGTAGCGAACAGAGGAGCAGCATAGTTAGAGTGATTTCTTGGGAAAAGCACTGTAACAGAGTGTGGAGGGTGCTGGAGGGGCTGGACCAGAGGAAGCCAGACTGGCCAGGAGACGACTGCAGTAATACAGGCAGGAGATGGAGGGGCTGCAGGGACACAACAGGGGCCCCACTGAAAAGGAGGGAATGATTTAAGGGGTGTTAGGCTGGAATCGACCGAGGTTAGTCACCTGCTGCTTGTAAGATGCGAGGAAGGTGGAGTCAAGGGGAGGTATTTCTTGACTTCTGGCTCAAGATGACAGGGTGCAGGGTGCTGCAAGTCACCAATAAAGGGAGATTGAAGAGGCACAGGTTTTGGGGGAAAGACAGTGAGTTCTGCATTTGGACACATTGAGTTTGGGGGACTTACTCAGCTGGAGATATTCAGGGACAGTTGGATTTGGGGGTCTGGGGGTTCCGTGGAGGTCAGAGGAGAGCAAGGGGAGAGTAGAAGCCATAACCTTCCCTTTTTTTTTTTTTACATGAGCAAAAGAAAATGAAACAGTTATTTTGAGCTTATATAACTCCCTCTTCCCATATCAGATTCAGTTAACTTCGTACTTTATTCTGTTAATGCCCTACTCTTCCATGCCTCTGACATTCCGTCGAGTGCAGTGAGATGACCCATTAGTCATGCACACGCAGTATCCCCTAGCAACCTCTGACTGGGTTCAGTACAAACTGCTTTAGCCAAGGAAAACCTACCCCTCACAATATGTACATGGTTATTCTGGATAGAACTGTCTATAAATATTTTTATTATAAAATAAAACACAGACACGGAAAACCACACAAGTAAAATATATGGCTTAATAAACTATTATTAAGCAAGTGGTACCCAAGTCAAGAACAGGATCTTTCCCAGCCACCCTAAAAGCCCCTTCAATATGCCCCATCCCAATCCCAGGCCCTTTTTCCCCCAAAGGGAACCACTGCTTGGGGAGAATTGTGGATCTGCACATTTATACCAAGTTTTAGCTAATTTTATCACACAATCTTCATGCCCACATCGCCATTTCCTGGGATGTCCTCCCATCCTTGCAAATCACTGTCAGCACGCACCCCCATGAAGCACTTCCTGTGGCCTTTGCTACATGTGGAATGCCCACCGTGTGTGCCTAGCATTGAGGAATCCAAGAGTAAGGTCCTAGAATCTGCCCCCTCTCTGTCCTGCATGATGAGTTACTTATACTTTGACTTTTCCCTTCTGTTAATTTTGTCCCCACATTCCCCCTTTCCTGACAATATTGTAGTGTTTTTCAAAGTAGAAACAAAACCTACTGCTGGTACATTCCAGGCCCTTGCCACTCAGAGGGTGGTTGGTCCACCTGCAGCACTGGCATCACTTGGGAGCTTGTTAGAAATGTGGAGAATTGGGTCCACCCCAGGCCTATTGAACTGAAATCCGCATTTTATCAAGATCCCCAGGTGGTTCTTGCAAAAGTTCAAGTTGAGAAGCACGGTCCTTGAGCAGGGCTTTCTCACGCTTGGCTGCACAGTGGAATCACCTGGGGGTCTTCCTAAAACACTCCTGGCCATGGGGGCTGCCAGTCAGAAAAAGCTGGCCACCCCTGCTTTGGTGGTGGCCTCCATCGTGGCCGTGGCAGTCCTCATCATCGTGCTTGTGCCGATACACTGCTGCCAGCTCTGAAAACACCGTGAGGGGTGCTGGGCCCTCATCTGCTGGCACAAGAAGCCCAGTGCCCTCCTGAAGGGAAGGGCTGATGGCTGCCACTCAAGCAGCGGTCTGAAGAGCCCAGAGGAGGAGTTTGGCCAGGTGGACTTGGGCAGCCCGATGAAGAAAGGACTTCTTCAGGACCGTCCAACGAGGGAGGCCCGGGACATGCCAGCAGACCTTTCCTACTATGGCTGCAATCACCTGTGCAGTGCACTGGGTCAGGGGGTTGGTTTTCACATGAGGACTTTTTTTTTCTTGAGGAAGATTAGTCCTGAGCTAACATCTGCTGCCAATCCTCCTCTTTTTGCTGAGAAAGACTGGCCCTGAGCTAACATCCGTGCCCATTTTCCTCCACTTTCTATGTGGGACGCCTCACAGCATGGCTTGCCAAGTGGTGCCATGTCCGCACCTGGGATCGGAACCGGCAAACCCTGGGCTGCCGAAGCGGAACGTGCGAACTTAACCGCTGCGCCACAGGGCCGGCCCATTCACATCAGGATTTTTAACAGCATCCCAGTAGGGTGACCAAGTGTCCCTACTTTCCTAGGACTTGGAAGCTTCAGTGCTAAAAGTAGAAACGTCCTTGACAAGTCAGGACAAGTTGGTCACCCTAATCCTCATGACTGTAATGTGCAGAAGGAGTTGAGATGCATTGCTCAGGAGAGCACATGGAAAAGGCGGGCAATACCATCCTATTTAGAGTGTAAGTCCCTCCGAGGCAGAGCTGACATTGAACAGTTCTTTTTGTATGTCTTAATATTTTGATATTTTGCATAAAAGCCTCTTAATAATGTTTATTGCTAATATGGTGCTTCTCCAAATGTTCCATAGTCATGCACTCATAATTTTTTTTATGGGAAACGGAGTTTATAATTTAACACTCACACCTGCAGGCCTGTGTATGCAGCCACACTTCCAAGAAAAGATCTCAGGGCCCTTCCTACACAAACGCTGTTCTGGGCTGACCTTGGCAGTCAGTTTAGACACTCCATCCCGGAACAGCTCCTTACCCAGCCCCAGGGTCAGGCCCACGAGGGCTCATTAGTTCTAAGCGTTGCCTATGTTTCCTCAAGACTTGCAAAAGATGAATAATATGTTTATATTTGGTTTTCCAAAGCCCACAAGTGTAACAAAGTAAAACAAGTATACTTTAATCTGAAATCTGATGCAGGGAGTCAAGTGGAGAAGCCATGCTTTTGGCCATTTCTAGATCCGCCAGAGTGGCCATGTAGGGTAGTGGTTAAGGGCAAGGCCTGGGAGACCCGCTCTTGGGTTGGTTAGCAATGCTATTCAACCCGAGCCTCAGTTTCTTTATCTTTAAGATGGGATGCTGATAATACCTGCTTTATGGGGTTGTGACGACTCCGTGGACTCTTATGTGCAATGTCCTCAGAACTCATGACCCTTGCTGGCAGCTCCACCACGAGTAATGATGACTTTCATTCCAGTGGAGGCTCTTACTGCCTGCTTTGTTCCCCCTGGCTTCTTGATCTTTCTTCTCTTTCCTGTGTGGATTCCCAGGATTAAGGATCTGGAGACATTTACTGAAAATGTAAAAAGGAACAGGTAAGAACAAAAAAGACACCACTCAACTTCGTATCGTCTTTGAATAGTCAGGTTGCATGCCCATGGGTTCTTACCCAAATGTGCCTTTTTAAAATGTCCTGGTGGAAGCCTGGTGATTTGAGAATTTGAGATTTCATAAAATATCCTGAATCCTTAAATATACTAAAAACAAGTTCCAGTAAAAGTCAGTGGAATAGGCTTAAAATTGCAAATATTAGTTTAATTGTTGTCACATTCTGTTTCTTACCATTGTTGATGAATGTCACTCTTCTGGTGACTGCGTTGAAGTTTCCAATTACTTTGTCTTTCCATGGTCTCTCTTCTGCAATGCACATTCAAAGCTCAAGGTTAGACGTCTACCTGTCACACTCAAGCCTTCCCATCTCCCCCACCTCCCTTTATTTTACTTTTTTTTTTTAGTAGACTTTATTTTTTAGGACAGTTTTAGATTAGCAGAAAAATTGACAGTACAGAGTTCTCACCTATGCTGCACCCAGTTTCCCCTACTATTGACATCTTACATTAGTGAGGCACATTTGCTGCAATAAATGAACCATAATCGATACATTATTACTAACTAAAGTCTAAGCTTTAGTCAGACAGCCTTAATTTCTACCGTTTTCTGTTCCAGGATCCCATGCGGGATACCAGTGACATTTAGTTGTTGTGTCTTAGGCTCCTCTGGGCTGTGACAGTTAAGCCTCCGTTTTTAGAATTATTTTATTCACTGTTGCGATTATGAAACGGAATTCATAGATAGTACCTATACACAGAAACATCAATGTAATGACCTAATTATAATAAAAGAGGAGTAAAAGTAAAGCCACAAACATTTAAAATGTATTTGCTTTTATAAATGCTCAGGCAGAACTGCATTCTAAGTCCTAAAGAAGTAGCCAGATATTTGCACCTACTATAATTTAAGAGCAGTAAGACAAGACTCTGGAATATTATTGACACTGTTTATTTTTGACATTTTTAAATAAGACCTAAATAAAAATATTCACATACACATGTGGAATTACTGGGCTCGTGGCAGGTCTACATTGACAGGTGCACATGTGTTAATTGCTGACTTAGATGCCATGAGTGGAACTGGCTTCAGAATCCTGGTTTTCCAAAATGGTGAACAAAATACAGTCTTTCCTAGACTTGCCCGGTAGTTGCATTACAGAAAATTCAGTATGGTGCAAAAATATTTCGTGTTTATACATAAAACAGAGTTAGGGTTCTAATGTGATTAGAAGCACATTTAAACTGCCCCAATGACCAGTCTGACATATGAAAGCCATGTGGGACACAGTCTTCATTGTGCTGCAAAGTCCTGTGCGCGGCATTCCCTGGCCACCCCTGACTAATGCCAGTGGCCCTCCACCATCACTGTGATAACAATTAAAGCACCTGCAATTTTCCAAAATTCCCCCTAGGGGGCGGTACGGCTGTGGTGCTGGACAGAGCTTAACAGGAGACTGGCCCTGATTCCTCTGTAAAATGATAGCTGTAATTGAGTGATGAAGACAATGCATGTAAAACATTTAGCGAGATGCCTGGCACACGTTGTTATGTCCTCCGACAACGTAAACTAATATCATCACCCAGTCAATCAGCAGAGATTGTTTGGGGGAATACTGTGTCCTTGGCATCCTGGTAGATGTGGGGAAGTGAAAATGGGGATCAGGCAAGCACCACAATCCCTGCCTCACACATGGGACAAGCAGTGAATTATTAAACACAGTTCACCAACGAGAGTGCCCAGGCGAGGCTGGAGTCAGAGAAATCTTTCTGGAGGAGACAAGAGTGGCTTATTGAACCAGGGCAGCTGGAACTGGAAGGAAAATATATCTATCCTATGAATAATAAATAACTCCTAGATCCTTATGTCTCAAAGCGTGGTCTTCAGATCAGCAGCGTCAGCAGCACCTGGAGGTTTGCTGGCAATCTCAGCCTCTACCCCAGACCTAGTGAGTTAGAATCTGCATTGTAACAAGGATCCTGGGTGTTCATCTGCATGTTCACATTTGAGATGCGCTGGACTAGAGAAACAACTGAGGACCCAGAGGAAAATACAATGACATTTGCTTCTTTGAGAGAACACAAACCTTGGAGCGGGGGAGGAGGGTGGGCAGAGCTATATTGTGGAGGGCAGTTAGGTAGTGAGAATCACAAAGGTGGTCCTAGCACAATTTACATCAGAAATGTAGATGTGTGTGTGTGTGTGTGTGTGTGTGTGTGTATGTGTATAGTATTCAAATAAAGATTCCCAGCCAGATCCCAGATCTATTGAATCAGAATCTCAAAGAGCAACGAGGAGTCAGCATTTAAATAAATGAAAGCCTCCCAGATAATTCTTAGAATGGGGAGGGAGGGAGCTTAAAAAAATACCCAAGGTAATGTCCCAGACCAGACCGATTTCATCACCTACAATATTAGAATCTCTATCAGTGGGTGAGTCCTGAGTATTTTTGTTCTTAAATTCCCCAGGTGACTCTGATGTTTGAGCCATTGACAGAGGGATTAAATGGGATAACCAGGAGGAAAAAAGTCTGGGCAGGGGAGAGCAATGAGGTGGAGCCAGGGTGTCTGAAAATACCTGAAAGATTGTCAACCAGAATTGGTGGGTAGAAGTTTTCGTTGTTTTTTATCCAAATAATCATGGCGTTTTTCTTTCTTTTCTTTTCTTTCTTTCCTCCCTCCCTAGCAAGAAGAGGCCTTTGAAATGACCTAGTTCAACTGTTCCATTTTGCAGTTCAATTAGTGGTCAAAAAGGTAAAGCGAGTTGGCCAAGGTCAACTCAGATATTCTCATTCCAACCCAACAGCAACAACAAAATAAAGTTATACCCTCTTCCCATTTCTAGTGATGTTGCACTCCACCACAAAGGCACTGAAATCCCACTCCGGTTTCGATCGCAGGCAAAGCGAGAATGAGAGAGGAAACCGGTTACTTTTCAAAAAACAACGTGCCCGCGCCCCCGTCCCCCCCGCAAAGTAGGCAGGCTTTAAAATGAGGAATTGGCAATTTACAAGACTCATTAAATTTAAAGACTGATATCCATCTAAAGACGAAATCTAGATTCTAGAGTTTGGGTGTTGATACCATTAAATTCAAGCTGAATTTGATAAATGGCGGGTCCGCCTCTGCACCTCTCGGAGCTACGAGGGAGCGGGCGCGGGCCCGGAGAGGACGAAGGCGCGGCCTCGCTGCGGAGACTTGCCCGACCGCGCAAGGGTACCAGTTCGGCGCGGCCAGAGGTGGGGCCATCGGCCGCCTGGGATGGCCAGGAGAGGCTTCTCGTAGGAGGGAGGGTTCGATTCGAGTCCTCAAAAACGGCAAGATTTGGATACTCAGAGGGGAAATAGCGAGCTGATGGGGTACTGGCTGGGACAAAGGCCCAGGGATAGTGGCAGTGGGGGAGCTTTGGGGTTCAGACATATTTCAGAGCGCCCTGTGGCCCCAAGGACACCCGGTCCCCTTAAGTTGGAGTGGAGGGAACAATTGGGAGGGCAGTCAAAGATCCTAGAAGAAGGTCCGAGATGCACGGGCTTGGGGACAGGTGAACATCGTTTTCTCGGGATGAGCGGAGAGGATGGCAGCCCCAGAGGAGACCATGCACAGCCTCTGAAGCTTGTGCAGCTCCAGAGGAGAAAGATGCCAAATTAGGGCGCTGCCCGCTCTCCTGCCCGAGCGCGGCCACTGGCTCCCCGGACGGCAGAGGAATCGGGTCCGAGGGGTCCCCTCTGGGTACCGTCCTACGGCGCGGGTGGAGCAGTCTCCCGCCACACCCTCACCAGGCCCTGCCCGAGGCGCCTTTTGGTCCCCGCGACCCCAGTAGTCCCTCTACCCTGAGCCTCCCAGCATTGGGCCCGGCCGGATCCCTCCCTCCCCACCGGCCTCGGTGCACCGGCACCGGCGCTGGGGCCTCGGGGCGGGTCCCTGCCGCACGCACCTGCCCCTGGGGGCGGAGCGCGGCGGCGACAGCGCGGCCCCAGCCTCCGCCACCGGCCGCCTGAGCCGCGCGGCTTCTCGACACCCCCCGCCCCCCTACAGCCGGCGCACCTCCACTCCGCGGCGCCCGCCCTCCCTCTCCGCGTGGTCCGTCCGTCCCTCCGCTCGCTCCGAGCCGCCGCGCCTCGCACTTCTGACTCGTCGCCGCCGCCGGGATCCGCCGCCCCGCGCCATGGAGCCGGCCGCGGGCAGCGAGCGCCGCAGCGCCCCGGGCCCCGCCGTCCCGCCGCCGCCCCGGGGCCGTGCGCCCTTGGCCGCCGCTCCCGGCCCGGGCCCGCTGAGCTCCCCGGCGCGCGAGCCGCCGCAGTCCGAGGAGGAGCGGCAGCTGCGGATCAGCGAGAGCGGCCAGTTCAGCGACGGGCTGGAGGATCGAGGTGAGCGCGCGCCGCCCTGGGCTCCTTCCCCCGGCCGGTCCCTTCCCCGGCCGGGCGGCGCGGTTAGGTCCGCGGCTCCGGGCCCGCCTCTCCCCGCTCGCGGGCTGGGCCGGGCCGGGCGGGGGCTCGCGCCGCGGCGCGCGCGGGGACGCGGAGCCGGGACTTCCCCGCGAAGGCACGGAGAGCGCAGGGCGGCGGCCCCACCTCCCGCGGCAGCAGCTCCTTCCCCGGAACCCGAGAAGCGGGCTGCCACCTGGGCGACCCCCCCCCTGGGCCCGCGCCCTCCTCCCCGCCAGCCTCCGGTCCTCCGGCGCCCACTGGAAAAGTTTGCGGGAGGCGTTCTTTTGCTTTCGAGCCGAGCGCTCCCGGGGGACGGCCGGTCCTGCTCACCTCGGAGGGACCTGAGCTCGGTGCATCCTCCTTCCCGAGCCCCCTGCGACCCGCGCTGGCTCCCCGGGAGAACTTCCCACGGCGGTTTTAGCTTCGAGGAGTTTACTCGGCGGCCGCCAGGGTGCCCGCCCCGGCGAAGGGGAGTCGAGAGGCCCCCGACCCTCCCTTACAGGGGACCCAGTTGACCGTGGGTCACTGCCCCGCTGTCTGATCACGGGGACAGAGGACTGGGACACTTGGGTCTGGGCCACTCAGCTCATGTGGATGGATGCCACTGAAACCTGGTGGTTCCCAGAGCGCGCGTCTCCAGCGCCTTCAGAACCCCTCCCAAGAGACTGCCCCGGAGCCCCGCAAACGTCCCTTTCCTGGGAGGCCAAACCCTACCTTCCGACCGTCAGCCGGTGTCCCTTTGAGTTCCCCGCATGAAACGGGAGAGATTCCTGTTCATTTCTGTCTCCCTCCTCCTACATCCTTCTTTCCCTCCCTTCCTCGTTTCCTTTTGGCTAAGAGGGAACCTTGTTCTTGGCCACGGCCACGTCTACACCTTTTCTGCTTCTTGCTGAATCCAAGTCGGCCCCCTCAAAAAGTCTCAGTGGTTCTGCTGAAACCAGCTAGTGGCCGAAGCGGGATTCTTGCAGCCAGGCCCTTCCGGGGAAGCCGGCTCATCGCCATCTCCACCCCCATTTCTTGGAAGCCTTATTTTGCTGGCTGTGGCGGATTTTTATATTTTAGTCTTAGCAGGTTTCTGTCCTATTCTTAGTATCTCCTATACATTTTTATTCCAGTTTAGTGTTCGGATGCACGATCTCTTTCCTCTTAGAAATTTTAAACGGTAGCGTGTGAAATAGAATGGCATGGAAACGGCAGTTCTCAGAGAATCGGCAGAGATGCTCGGCGAGAACTGGAGCCGCTCCAATTGCAAGGAGTTCTGCACCTTTGTTGCAGTTTCTCCTCCTGTTCTCACATCACTAGATAGCATTTTAGAGCTGCTGATTGCTGACATCACGAGCACCCAGCAAAACATAGTTTTATTATAGGTCGCGTTAATTACCTTTCCCTCGGCAACTGATGTTGTAGGATTTAAACATTTTGTATTGAAGAAAGACAAAATTGTGGGCTGAGCTTATTTTTGTAGCATTGCAGGTCATCTGTAAAAGCTGGCCTGTGTCTCCCCACCCCACGAGATGACAGGAGGGAAAAAGTGCTAGGGTGAGTTAATATTTAGCATCGTTTTGTAGCTCATGCTCAAGTATGAAAAGCCCTTCTGAATTCCTTCTTAAGGTTATTTTTCACTGGTCAACTGGATTTCATTTTCCATTATGTTATGGCGTGAAAGCGTTCAGTGTTCATAAACTGTCACTGTGTGAAAGCATCGCATACCACACACAGCCTCTCTGTTAGGATGAGCCTTGTCCCCCAAAGAACCCAGTGCTGTGTGGCATTGAAAGCTGAAAGTCAGTGTGACATTCTTTTGTCTGACCTATTCCTGATGGCAAAGAGTTAATGATGAATGAGTCATTTTTATTGAATAAATCAGAGGGTTACCTGGGGAGATTTATTATAATTTTTGTGCTTTATTTTTTCTTCTGGGGCTGCATCTTTCCAATAGCGGTTTTTGTATCCTTTGGGAGCAGTTGGATTGCTGCTACCTATTTCCTGATGGTGAGAGGATTTGGGGAGGAGGAAGCCTCAGCAGTTGCCTGCTGTGCATCTCTCCATCATGCCTGGCTTGCTTTCTTCTAGGCCTGAATACCTACAGGGGGTGTCGGGGGCGGGCACCCTGGAGGTGTACCTATGTTTGGACTTCCCTCTTGTCCTAACTTCCTTCTAAGCTAGCAGGACCTTGTTACAGACTGTATCTAACTCCGATCAGAGGCTGGCTTTATAATCCAGTGTTTGGGGACTTGAGAGATATTTTACCCTTAGAACTGTTGTGGGCTGGTTCCCAGAAACCCAGCTAGCTCATATTGTCAGGAACTGCAGTGCCATTTGGCTGAGGCTTGTAGTTCAGGGAGCAAACCTTAAGGGGCTAAACACACAAAAAACACGCCAAGTTTGTCTTAGGCATTTCCACCCCTTCCCTTTTAATACGTGCTCTTCTCTCCATAAGTGTTTTCCCAATCATTCTGCCCTAAGCCTTAGGGCTCAGCCTCCTTAGCATGTCAGAGGCTGCAGCATTTCCTACTACTTTCCCATCTAATGAGTATTCCCCTTCCTTCAGAGAATCCAAGCATGACTAACTCTTAGGAGAAAGCAATTGGGACTAATTCATACTAGCATGGAAATGACTGATGGCTTCAATCTCCCCACATATATTTGCATTTCCCCCACCCCCAAACAATAAAGTATCAGTCAAAATTACAAATGTGTGAAATTTGAGTGAGATTAGAAATATGAATGTGGAGGCCAGCTCTGCGTAGGAAGGACCCAGCCCAGCATGCAGATCTAAGCCATGCTTTAGCTTCTCTAGGCTGTGCTGCCTTTCTTCTACCTTTGAAGCACGGCTTCCTGAAAATGTTAGGAATTCTCACCATATCTCCATGGTTTGCCTGCCAAGATGGGGGCAGAAGTGGAGGCGCCTGATTGCAGACTGTTCATTTATGAGCAGGGTCTGTGTAGGTCGTTATACTCCACTTCCCTTTGAGGAGTGGCAGGTTTTCCGTTGTTGGTATTGGCTATATTTTGAGAAAGGAAAACCAGCAGGAAACAAGCAAAGGTCGGAGAGAAATGGGCAAGTTCCTCCCTTCTTGGACAGTCCTGCATTGCCTTTACTCCAGTTTTTAAATTTAAAACGTCTCGTGGGGGAGGCACACACGGGATCAGATCTGGGGAAGAACCACCAGTCCTGATGCTGAGAGGCCTCAGCTGCCACCTTGGTGGGGCAGTGCAGCCCACAGGGACCGTCATTCCAAACTGGTCCAGGGGAGTGCCAGCCCACTGTGGGGTGGGGTGTGTAGACTGGTCTGTGTGGTCCAGTCATGTTTTTGGGAACAGCTGGCTTTGGAAGGAAAAATGTCATGTGGCAGAATAGAAAACTCAGATCATTGCATTTCTCTTAGAAAATTAAATCTATTTCTAAAAGGAACTTTGTTTTCTATCCTCAGTGGATAAACCTCTCGAAATGGTTGCTGTCAAAATACTCAGCAAATGGACTGCTTATTTGAGTCAGTACTTAAATGTTACAGCTTCACTTCTGAAAATCAATGGGCCGGGATGAAAGGAAGATTTTTATATCGTTTGGGAAAAGGGAAATAAATTATTGGGAGTGTGTGGGACCTGCTCATTCTAGATTGTCGCTTTAACTGAAGACAGGAGTGATCCTAGTTGAAAATTAGAAGGGGATATTTTTTGGCAGCAGAGAAGTAATGAAAGGGACAAAAAAAAAGTAGACAAAGGGATTTTAGTTTGAAATCACTTGTCCTTGAATTTGACAAAAGAGGTTTTTCTTGTTTCCATCCAAGTGTGTTTATTGGGGAAAGCTTGGGGAGATTTTTACAGGGCGGTAATGGAGATGGTATTTTCACCTATCTTTAGCAATCTCATCTACTTTGTGAGCCTGTGTAAGTCCACAGGTTTTGATTATGTAAAAATTTCTGGGCTATAAACTGGGCTCACTAAGCAGCCTTCTCGATATTTCTTCTTGGTTTGTTCAGGACTTGTTAGGCTGCTCGAGTCTGGGTAGTAAATGGAACTGAGAAGTTTTAACAGGGTCCTTGTTATAAATTTGAACAGGATGCAGTTTTCAGCAGCCAGGCTTAGCGAGGTGTCCAGTCGGTCTAAAGGGCCGGTGCCTCTTACCTGAGGCAGAGGTGTGATCTGTTGCACGCTGGGCGGTGTTTTGCAAATGAGTGCGGTGCCGAAGCTTTGACTCCCAATTTCTTCATCCTTTGGAGCTGTTGTGATGAGGTTGCGCCACCTCTGAAAGGTCTATTGTGTGTTGTTTAGCCAGAGATGGTGTCGTAAGCTCCTGTTCATGTAGAATGCATGACTGAGAATTTGGTTCTCTGTGCCACAAAGAGGTGCCATATATAATCTGTTTTCAAAGGAGAAGAAAAAATGTAAATCAGGATCATATTGAAGACGGGCTAGTCTTCCGCCTAAGGCACTTGAAGCTTGGGCTTTGCCTGGGAGTCACCATGAGTTCCTGTTGTCGTCGAGGGCTCTCCATGTGGAAAGCACCGGAGACAAAAATCAAACCTTTCTTCCACACGGCCTGTCTGGGAAGCTGCCTCCCGCTTTAGCAGGTTTACTCCCCTTTAATGTTGTGAGAATTTTTTGATATATGCTTGGTACAAATGGGTGGATACTATAGAACAGAAAGGAGAGGGAAGAAAACATGGTATGTAATTTAGGTCTGGCGGCTGTTGTTGGTTGTGGTTAAAGAGAAATGGTCCTTTCTCCTCCTGTTAATTGTCGAGGGAGCAATGAGGGGCATTTATATTCTTCTCCGACTCATTGCTTTGGGCAAAACCCGTCCACCAGTTGGGGCCGTGCTGGTGGATCAATGCAAATCAATGCCCACAGCTGAAGAGCCTGAAGGCCCAACTAAATGTGGGCTCTTCCAGCTGTTTCCTAACGAAAGGGCCTTGTTAGGAGCAGCACCTACCTGAGCCAAGCGAGTTAACAGGGCAGCGGGATGGCTGGGGTCACACATCAGGTCAGGGAGTGGTGGGGTCTGCAGGGTCCTTATAAAGAAGACAGCTGCTGTTACCCTGTAGGAACACTTGCCAGATGTTGCCAGAGCCTATGATCTTTCAACAGATGCCAGAAAGCCTGATTTCCATGTGAACTCTCCTGTTAAAACACATCTTGGCCCATGGGCTGTTGGTTTGCAATCCTTGGATAAGAGAGTATAGCTCTGGCTGTGGGTTTCTTAATAAGGAAATGTCTAACTTCCTTTTCTCCTTGTTTTTGTCAGGCTTGTTAGAAAGCAGCACTCGACTAAAACCTCACGAAGCTCAGAACTACAGAAAGAAGGCATTGTGGGTCTCCTGGTTCTCCATTATTGTCACACTGGCCCTGGCAGTGGCTGCCTTTAGTGAGTATCCGGGGGTCTTGCTGATCAATACGTGCTGGTGTTGCCTGTTTTATTCCCTGACTCCTGTGGGATGTGCTTTTGCTTTTAGTTGATTATTATTGATGAGTAAATTCTCTTAGATGGTTGGATAGTCAGGGTACGTATAAATTAGTAAAATGGCTTCTCTCCTCTGCAGAAGGAAGAGGTGGTTAAGAAGAATGGAGAGTGGTACTCAGAGCCTTGGCTCTCCTCTTCCATAACCATCTGGGTTTATGGAAGTAGATTCCGGCTTCCAGCTGAATAGTGACAATATTCGTTTGCTGGATGCCTTCAGCTTGGGCTGATATGGGACAAAATGTATACCCTTAAGATTCGTATTTTGAGCCTACTGCAACCAGATGAATGCAATATTCAGTATATCCTTTCCTTTTCCCCAATTATATCTGTATAAGGTTTGGAATAAAATCATGTGCATGTATTTTTATGAAAGAAAAATGGGAGGGTCCTCAAGTTTTCAGTGGTCATGGAAACAAGGTTTATTATAATCAAGATAAACTAAGACAATTGAACACTTTCTGCCCCTGGATAATCCGGTTTGGGGGTTAGGAAGCCCTAGGACATGCGTTTTCTCAGCTAACATTTGCAGCCTATCGAAATGTGCATGTGCTATTTATTCTTATTAATCATGCAATGATTCACAAGCTTAAGCAGTGACATTCAGCATCAGCTCAACTTTGGTAGAAACCATGGTTTTGTTTATGCTGGGGAAAAGAGGAATGTATTTTGTGATTAATTTATTACCTTAACAGAAGGATCTATATTCTAAGTGATAAGTGTCATACAAGGTGTCTCATGTGACAACCCTCAGAGTGGCAGAAAAAGGGACTATGTCCACTGGAAGACAGGGCGCTGTGTGTGTTGTTTAAAATTCTGTTCTGCACAGTTAGATCTGCTGCTGGAATTGGTGTTGGCTCCCAAGAGGGCATATTAGAATTTGACCAAATGCTGCCTGCAAAACTAGGCATATGTTACGTGAAGCAATTTATATTGGAAACACTGTACCATATCTTGGCTCTAAAAAAAGGCCAAACATTTAGAAGCAGAGGGTAATGCATTTCAGGGTATAAACATTTACCAGTGAGCCAGAAATCTAATCAAGAGGAATTCTGATTCCTGAAAATAGCTATTCCTTCCTCTCTCTTCTTTTTTTTTATGCTGAAACAAGAATAACAAGCCAGATTGATGTCCCCAGAGGATAATTTAGTTGTGGTGGCTGGTGGTGGGCTCTGGATCAGACACCATAATTTACATATGTGAAGAAAGAGGAATGGAATGCAGGGGGGTGATTTACAAATAGAGTTATAGTTAGTCAGTCGGTGCAATAGAGCTGTTAGGACTTTATCATGTGGGTGTTTGAATGTGAAGAAATGTTGGAGAAGCCTTTCCCTTGGGAGAGTAACACTACACCTGATGTGCTTAATCTTGTGATGGGGAAAAATTATAAGGAAATTTTGCTTTCACATGTTATGCCTGATCAGTGGGGCTATCTTGAAAATTTTGTGCCATTTCCTTTACTAGGAAAAGGCTGTTGCATAATGCGTATGGAATTAGAATGTTGCTTGGTGAAAAGGGTCTTCATTTTTTTTTGAAAACGATTTTACCCCTTTACTGTAGCAAGTATTTAAATCCTCTAACTTCTTGCCTATAAAATGTTGGCATATGGCATATAATATTATGGTCTGTGTTATTTTCTTTAGTATATTCAGTTTGTTCCCAAGTGACTTTCAACTTGCTTTGGTGTAGTTAAAACAAAAAATGTAGAAGGTGAACTGTATTTTCCCCCACTTTATACAGAGTTGTGTGTGTGTGTGTGTGTGTGTGTGTTTTGCATATTTTAAACCCATGGGCTGTCTTGTTGTATTGTTAGGGTTTTTGGTTTTACCCTGTAATTTCTTAAATGTATTTGTAATATGAAATATTTAACATCCTTCCTAAAGCATCATTTATATGTCGACAGACTTTTGTGCAATTTTATCTGTAGTCTTGAATGGAAAGAAAATCAATAGGGATTGAGCAATATTAGCTGGCTTTTGAAGTTATGTTTAAATTAGTATCTAAAGGAAAATTGTATGTTTCAGAAGTAGTGATAAATGTATTTTTTAAAAAGTATCAGAAGGAGCTCAAGTCTTATTTTCCAAGGAGGTGGTTGACAGACAGATGGGATGAAATGGAATGGTTTGGCTTGGTGCACCTCTGTCCTATCGATGCAATGGTCAGGTTGAACCAATTAGTGTTTCTTAAGAGAATTGCTGTGGAGTAACTCACTGCATGTTATGCTTTGAGATGGAGAGTTTTCAGAGTGTGTGCCGACATGTGTGTGCGTGTGTGTATGTGTGTGTGTTTTGACAAGGGGTGATAATCATGGGGAAGAGAAGACTGTATTTATTGTCGTGTCTTCTTGCCACTGCTGGATGGGAAACTCTGGGGGCAGGAAGAGCATCCATCCTTGTGTGGGACCAATATTCAAGAATATTAAATGAATGAACTGAGAGAGATTTAAAAAAACTTTTCCTTTTAGGTGGAAAGAAAATATTTCTTAGAAAAAGATGAATTTCATCTAAAAGTTTGTTTAAATACCAGGATTAGGTTTCATTTATTTTATAAACAACTGAAAAATTTTTGAGTCAATTGGATGGTCTTTATGGCCCTTCTCTTGTTAAGATGCTGTCTTGGAGCTGCATCTGCTGGGGTCAGTTCCAATTCCTGTCTTTAACTCTTTACCTGCCATTTTCTCTTTGATCATAGATGCTGATTTTTAGCTGAGCATCTTCTGAAGAAATGCTATTGTCTCTTTTGTGTTTGGAAATGAGAGTGATGGATATGTTTAAGCTTTGGGGACACCTCTTTTCTCAGTTAACTGGAAAGATTGACATTTTTTATAATATATATATTGCAAAATAAAAATTGTTACCTTCACCTCCTGTAAACCACCAGGTAATCAGGTATGCTGTCTTTTCTCAAATCAGTAGTTTCCAAAAGACCTAAGAACTAGCTTTGGTCAGTGTTATTGACTTATCTGGGTTAAATCAATTATGTGTGTAACTTTGGCTGACATTCACATGTCTGGTCTAGTTTGAAAAATTAGGTGAACTTTCAAAGTTTGTGACTTGAAAGTGTTTTGAAAGGAATATGCGATTTGAAAGGGATATGAACTATTTTTGATAATACTTTCTAATGTAGAGATTTTGGACCTGTTAAAAATGCTGATATAAAACCAGATGGTAATACATCTTGAATATTTCAGAGAGAGCCCTAGTTTGGTTTTAAAATTGGTTCTGTTTATAATCGGTAGGCAGCATGGAAAATGGCAATCCTGTTATGAACAAGCCTTAAAAAAATGTCTGTTTTAATAATAAGGCTAGAAAGAGAACAGAAGTTCCCTTTCAAAACTCAGGGTTTTGACATCATTGGTGCCTTTGTTAGAATGGTTTGGGAAAATGCATTCTGACTGTTTTTTGAGGTTTGAATGAGTGCAAGTTAATTTTTAGGCACTCAGTACATCTTCTGTGAGAATGAAGATATATTTGACATTCTCAGGGGAAACTTTTTCTAAGATACACAGCTCCATTAAAAAAAAAAAACTACTTCAAACCAAGATCTTCTCAGAAAAAGCTCACTGAAAAATTTAGTGAGTCAATAGATTTAAGAATTTAAAAGAATTTCCAAAAAGGGGGGATTTTCTTTTTATATGAAGGGTTTTTAAAATAATATATTTGATTTTAGTGTAAACTCTTGTCTCTTAAAAATGGTGGAATGTGGGGGCTGGCCCCGTGGCCGAGTGGTTAAGTTCGCGCGCTCCGCTGCAGGCGGCCCAGTGTTTCGTTAGTTCGAATCCTGGGCGCGGACATGGCACTGCTCATCAGACCACGCTGAGGCAGCGTCCCACATGCCACAACTAGAAGAACCCACAACGAAGAATACACAACTATGTACCGGGGGGCTTTGGGGAGAAAAAGGAAAAAATAAAAAAAAATCTTTAATAAAAAAAAAAAAAAGGTAGAATGTGTGTACTTATTCTTTTTATTTTTAAATTGTGAGGCCAAGAGTTGGGAGATGGATAAAATGAAATTACAGAACTTTTCTAGAAACTCAACAACACATGCCTGGGAACTTTTTTAGGTTTTCCCTCAACTGACACATTGTGAGGTGGAAAAGACATAAGACCCTCCAGTGGCTTTCTGGTGTCCTGAGAGTAACATCCAAACAGTTACAATGGCCTGAAAGGTCCAGCCTCACCTGGCCTTTGCCCACTTGCTCAGACACCCCAACTTCTCAGGAGCAGCGTCCTTTGGCCAAGCTCGTCTTCTCGTGGATATCCACGTGGCCAGCTCCTCAAAGAGGCCTCACCAACCGCCTGGGCTCATCCCCCCAGAGTAGTTTTATCCATCGTACTGTGTATTTTCCTCACCAGTTTTTCCCTTTGTGCCCCACCTCCATTAGATAATGGAGTATGTGAGGCCCTGGACTCGTGCCTGTGTCTCTAAGATTCCACCCCCGAAATACTTCCATGAACCAAAGACTTAAACATGCAGCTTAGCATTCTGCTTGTAGAATGATCCTTTGTGTAGCTTGCTGGTCTTGTATTTATTTTTATTGATAAAAATTGATAAAGGCCGTATATGCACATTATGAAAATTCTTGGGGCCCGGCCGGTGGCGCAGTGGTTAAATTCACACATTCTGCTTCTCGGCGGCCCGGGGTTCACCAGTTCGGATCCCGGGTGTGGACATGGCACCGCTTGGCAAGCCATGCTGTGGTAGGCGTCCCGCATATAAAGTAGAGGAAGATGGGCACGGATGTTAGCCCAGGGCCAGCCTTCCTCAGCAAAAAGAGGAGGACTGGCAGTAGTTAGCTCAGGGCTGATCTTCCTAGAAAAAAAAAAAAAAAATTCATGCGACCAGTCGTGGTGCCTGTGTACACTTTCTGGTTGCCACCTATGTTAGATGTGCTGTCTTATCCTT